GAAGCTGTCATAGCTGACAGCACGAGTGTACCTCCTCCTTCGAGCTTGGAGAAGAAAAAGAAGAGCGAGGCTTGAGAAGTTATTTATTTGTTTTCGACTTGTTTTTTGGACATTTGTTGACATTTTTTCGACTTGTTTTTTTTTGGACTTTTTCGAGTGGGTGACTTTTTGTTGTTTTGTTTAAATGTTTTCGGGCTGTTTCGATTTTGTTTGTCAGTTATTTTTCTTTTCAATTTGTTTTTATTGTTTTTGTGACTTTGACTTTTCCATTTGCCTTTTTTTGGACTATTTTTTTAATCAAGGATTCTGGCCTTACCATGTGAAAGATTTCTATAACTCTAGGTTGGCTCCAGGCAACTCTTGGTGCAATCGATCAGGCTCACCTGGCAACATGGCTTCGAGAGCAGTATATGCCGACCTCGGGCAATAAGAAGGACGGCTTGATAAGCTTGAGCTTGCGAGGTGAGTGTGTATGGAGATTGTACGATGTTATTTATCTCTTTCTTCCGGGTTTGTTGGCCGTTCTGCCAAAAATTCCTAGGCTTGGTTCATTGAAGGTGATTTATCCAGCTCCATTGCGAAGCGCAGGAGCTCGTTGAACGGGTCCTGGATGTGATGGGTTTGGCAGCGCAGTAATGTCGCAGCTGAATAGGGCCAAGCTGAATAAATAGATAGATCTCGCACATTCCCAACTATTTTGCCCACGGCCTCTGCCGTATGTGTAGGACATTTTAAATCACCCTAACTTGAGTCGCACCAGCAAACATCTAATTGGAGTATTGGAGACGGTTGTTGTTCGGACACAAGCGTGCAGTGTGCGGAGATTCTCTGAATTATTCAATTGCTTTTGAATTTTTGTCACTTGACCCATCGATTTGGGTCATTGGGCGGGACAACACATGGGGCGTGGTGTCCTGCCAACCGTGCGGAAGAAGAGAATGTCTCAATTTAGATGAGACTTCCAAACAAGAAGTAGATGAACACATCCTTTAAGTTCCTTCCTTCAATCCTCAAGATGCTCTGTTTGTGGAGAACTTCCTCGGGCTCGATTTTCTCGCTCGATTTGCGGCGCCTGGATTTGCCAAAGATGTTGGGAGCGCATCTGGGGAGAAACAGCACCTTTTGGCGGCCAGAACCGACCATGCGAGACGACACGGTGTGGAAGTGTTTGGGTTTGCTACGGTTAGCTCAGTTTGAGATTGCCAGTCTTGCTTTACTGCCTCGCAGCTTTGAACAGTCTATATGCTTTAAATATTTTGCAGTAAACTGTAAACTGATTCGTGGTGTCATTTGATTTCAACAGCCCGTTACATACAAAATTTATTTAGCACTAGTAAATGTCATTCTTTTGTTTCATGACTCATCACCTGAAACCGCATGACCTTGTTACTATAGATTCTACATTGCCATCCAGCCATCCGGAATGCCGGCAGCCATTCCAAGTGATCCAGGCCAGGTCTTGTGAAACTCCTTCCTGCCTTGCCAGCACTCCGGCAGCCAATCAAAAACCCGAAGTGCTTCATGTCATGTCATGCCATTTCCCAGGTTTCACCCATCATTCTAGCATTGTTCAGTCATGGCTTATGTTTGTCTCAGTGGTGCAGTCTTCATTTTCGGGCCCTGTCGACAGGCTCACCGGCGGCTAAGACAGGGCGCCGGCGTGATCAGGCCAAGAGGCCCCTTGAGGCTCGGCCAAGAGACTCATGCGTTTTCCCTTTCAGGTTTTTGGATCTAGCTAAGAGGAGTTTTGGAGGGAAATGCGGCATCAATTCAGAGCGTTGGACAAAATACTTGCCCAGAATGTTCGGAGGATTTTGGAGGTATTTTAACCTCTTTTAACTTTTGCTTGGCTTGGTGCAGAGGTGTCCTTGCATTTGTCCTCCTAATTTTATACTTGCCGTGCAGGAGATTGTCTTCCCCCTACTGTAGGTGACTCATTTGTGCTGATGGGCTGACGGTGAGGCCTTTTCTTTTGGGTTGAGATGGGTTGAGAACTGTGCCTTTGCAACCCCGCAGCGTTTCTAGCACCGCTGCCCGGCCACGGCTTCATCACTTCAGCCGCGGAGGCCAGGACCGGGGGCTTAAGATGACCTCTAAGGATGGCTCGTCCAGAGCAGTGTGGTTGATACCGTGTGTCCAGCAACGGACTTTTTCTGCTCTAAAAAAGGGCTCCGGTAAAGTATGCGATCCGACATGGTACACACTCGATTTGTGCACCGAAGCCTAACAAACTTGGTACACTTCTCATGTACCTCAAACCTAGTTTGGTGCACCTGCACTCCCCCTCGATCGCTTCGGTCGAAAGAGGTGCCACCAAAAGCTCAAAAACTTCCGCCACGCTCAAGCCCTTCCATCTCCTTCACGGGGTCCTGAACAAGGTGTATCCCCACCAGGTGTCTAAGCGACACCCTTTCTTCCCATTCCGCTCATCCACTAGGATCACCTTCCTCTTCACCACCGCAGGCCACGCCACAGTCATCCTCCAAGGCCCCCATTCTTCTTCCAGGAGGATCTTGGACTCGAAATCATACAGTTTCTTCCGATCCTGGTGGTGCACCCTGATGGCAATCTTCCGGCCTCCATCATGGTCCACCAGGTGTTCCCAGGAGTCTTTTGCGGCCGTACGCCGCGGTGGAGTGGAGATGATCTTCAAGACGGCCTCATTGATGAAGCCCTTCTGAAAGCCAGGCGTCCTGAGATAGTCCCACATTTCTTCTTCATGGCACCACTTCCCCAACACGATGTCCTTCTCCACCGTATAGTGACCAGCCTCAGTGGTTCCACCCTGGGCATTCTCTCTCGATGACGCTCCTCCAGCGGCGTTCCCCCTTCCTGAGGCTGTTCTCCATTCCCTTCACTTCCTCGGGCCCCAGAGTCGACGTGTCGTGGAGGTCCTCGGCCGTCACCTGGATCTCGTGCAATCCTCGTCGAACCATGGATCGATCCCATGCGCTCATCCCCAGTCCAAGATTCGCCCGACGCCTCTCCTCCGCCTCGGCATCATAGGCTCCTCGGCACCATAGTCCTGAATCATGTACTTGAGGTTCGGCAGGGAGTCCATGATGTTTGTGAGATAGTCCCAGCCCTCCAGCTTCGTCAGTCTGGGTGCTTCTATCTTCTGCGGCTCCTCCCCCTTTTCCTCCAACTCTCAAGGCTCGAACTGAGATCCGGCCGACTGGATTTCTGGTTCCCAGTTCCTGCCGCTGATAAAGAGGATCATCAGGTTCCGCCCATGGGTACAGCTCTTCGTGCCCCGAGTAGCCGAACCCCCTCGAGCCTCGGACGGTCTCCGTCAAGCTCTCGACGCTGTTGACCCCAACCTCCATGATCTTTTCGATTACCAGCTGAGCCACTCGATCACCCTTGTAGATGAAGAGGTCCTCGTCGCTCCAGTTTCGCAGAAGCACCTTCACTTCCCCTCGGAAGTCTCGGTCGATGACCCCGGCACCTGTCTCAATCCCCCGAATAGCCAAGCTTGACCTCGGAGCCACTCGCCCGTAGGTTCCTGGAGGAAGTTCAATCGCTAAGCCGGTCTTCACCAGGACGCTGTCACCTGAGGGGACCATGGTCTCAATGACCGAGTGAAGATCCAAACCGGCCGCCTGCTCCGAACCGCGGACTGGTAGTCGTGCGTCAGGATGAAGAAGCTTCACCTTGAGCTCTTCTCTCGGCGCCATCCATCGTTTGACACCCGCAGTGCCCACCCGGAACAGGATGTCTCCGATGATCGCAATCGCTGCGGTGAGGAGAACCAGAATCCACCACTCACTGCCTCCTCCATCTGTCTGGGTGTCACTGGCCTCAACCTGGGTGATCATACTCGTTGCTGCAATCAGAAGCCCCAGCCCTCTCGCAAACCTAGGGTCAGGACTCTTCCTTCCGATCTCCAGCCTCTTGACCTCCATCTTCTCCATCACTTGGACCTTCTCCAATCCCAGGGTGTCCTTGAAGTTCTTGAGATGCTGGCCCGTCAGCTGCTTCGTCATCCCATCCGCCACCAACTCGACTCCGGCCACATGTCTCAATGAGACTTCTCTTGACCTGAGGGCTTCCGTTAACCCAGCGGCTCGGATCCGTAGGTGTCGTGTCCTCCACGATGATGTCGTACCTGCAGCAATCGCTATGGCTGCCGTGGAGTCAGAGTGCATCTTCATCCTCATCTTTCTCTCAAGCACCGCCTCCATCAGGGCTCCCGCCGAGCGAATGGTCACCAGTCCCTCCAGCATCGCCATCAACTCAGCCTCCGCCGTGGAAAGGGTGATGAATGCCTGCCTCGTGGTATGCCACGCGATAGGAGTCCCTCCATAGCACACCACCACACCTGTCACGCTCTTGAGGTCGGACGAGGCGTACGATGCATCTGAGTAGACCTCAACGTCCCCCAGCACCTCCTTCGCTGCTTCCTTTCCTCCATCACCTCCCCGGATGACCAATCCTTCATCCCGAGTCTCTCGAAGATAAGCTCGAACTTGGGCCCCAATGGCGATCACCCCTTTTGGCCTTTTGGTCGCCCATTGACACATCAGGCTCACCGCCAGGCAGATGTCAGGGCGTGTCCTCCCAGCGACCCAAAGCAGCTCTCCAGTTTCTTTTTGAGCCCGAGTCACGTCGACTTCCAGTGCTCCTGGATTCTTTGGTGGAACTCCTTGATCACGGCCTTCTCTCCGGCGATGATGATGTCATCGACATAGGTGGCACATAGTCCCGCCAAGTGCCATCTCTCGTCGCCCTCGACCAGACTCTTGATCGCCCACACGTCGTCCTGAGCGGTCTTTTCCACCTTGTACTGGGTCTTCTCGATCTCCCACTTGAAGTCCTTGATCTTTTGATCGCGGTGCACACACCAATCCTTGGGAGACGTCACCAGCCCATAAAGGGCCTTTCTCACCAGCCAGTACTCCGCAGGGTGTCGAAGTACCTCAGCTTCCTTGAAGATGCGGGGTGGTTCAACAATCACGATGCCTCTTTCCGCTGACTCATCAACCGGAGCATTGAGAAATGCTGTTTTGACGTCGATGGTCGAGAGGTCCCATCCATGAACGGCTGCCACCTTCATCAGCATCCGCACTTCAATGCCACTGGCTCCTGAAGCAAAGGTGGACTCACTGCTCTTCGCTTGCATGAAGTTCCCGCAGGCGACCCCTCGACACTTGTGGCGGCCTGTACCGGCCTTCCGGCTGAAGATGGCTTTCGCTGGCACCAAGTCAAAGTCCTTCCCGACCTCGGCTGCCTGCTTCCGGAGTTCCTCCATTTGGGTACGGTCGATTGGCTCCACCGCCTCTGATTCGGTGACCAGAGCACCATACTCCTCGACCATGGATGGCTTCCACTCTGCCATGTTCTTCCTGACCTCAGTCAAGCCGACCATTCTCGTTTGCAGGAATGCTGGATGCTCTTCAATCTCCCTCTCAATCTCCACGGCCTTCTGTGCTTCTTCCCACTGGCCAACCCTCCTGGTCTCCTCCGTCACCGCCTCCACCTCCAGAGTGAGGGCCTTGAGGAAACGTTCATTGGTGATCTCACCCTCATCTTCCTCAGCCAGGTTGCCTCACCTGCGTCCTTGTAGTGGAGAGGTATTTCTGCCGATCACTATACAGCTTCCTTTTGGCCCAGACCTGCTGCCCGAACGGAGTCAGCTCTCGCCGCTTCAGTCCCATCGACTGCCTCCTCATCTTGCATTCGGACCAGTGTCGAGCGGCGTGGCACCAATAGCTCTCGTCCAACCCGGCAGCTAATAGGAGCGTCCTCGCACCTCTCTTCACCTGCGCCACTGCACATTCTGCTCTTCCATTTCCTCGGAAGTTATCGGCATCAGTGAAGGTGCGCATCACATTTCTCTCACGACACCAGCGGTCGAAGGCTCGAGATTGATACTCACCTGCCCGATCTGAGTGCAGTCGTAGGACAGGGAGACCCAAAAAACTCAGCCTCGCGTGAAAGCGACTGATCGCCTCCACCACTGCCTGCCCACCACGGTTCTCCAGGATCTCGGTCATGGTGATCTGCTTGACCGTGAAGTCTGTCTCCTTCTCCACTTTCTCAAGCCAAGCATCATCATCCCCGTCGCCCGGCCACGAACCCGCCGTCTCCTCCGTAGGTTCCTCCGCCATCGTGGTGATCTCTGGTCCATCCCCAATGGCTCCAGGGAGTCCATCATCCTCGTTGATCGGGATCAAGGTTTGGCCGTCCTTCGAGACCGGAACCAGGTAGACGCCGATGAGGAGATACCTGCCCCGACCAAGTTGATCGTCCGCCTCCTGGAAAGGTCCAGCTGTATCGACAGCGTGTACGAGTCGGGGTGTGGAATCCGTTTGTGAGCACGTCCACGTGAGGCAGCGACAACGCAAGACTTGCATTCTCTGGAATACGGTATGTGACCGTTGAGAAGGTGTTTTTTCCAGGCCAAGAGGTCCATTCGTTTGACCATGCCTTCCGGGCTGTGGAGAGTCTCCCGGATACTCGCGGACAGTGCGGCCTTGAGGCCGGGTGCCCATGCCGACCATGCTCTACTCTGCTTGATGCGCTCCGCCAAGTCCTCCGCCAGCGCCGTTCCGCCTCCCACCCCCGGGCCCCGAATGCCCTGGAGCTCCGTCAGCTTCAGGATGTTCGTGCCCAGCCGCGCAGGTTTCCTCCGCTGGTGACCCATTGGACCTTGGTCGAAACTGACCTCCACCATGTTCCATCGC